CCACTCCAGCACGTGTGGCTGCCACTCCATCCGTGGACGTCGGGCGGGCCCAGGATTGCATTTCTGCGCGACTTTGTGCAAAATAAAAACGGCGTTTGTGCCGTAAATACCAAGCCTAGTTGATACAACACGGCAGATGAAAATCGCTGTGAGCTGCTGAGGCAAAGGAAACATTCATTTGACCATCCAAATCGTGTAATCCTAAAATTGCTATTAATTGGTTAATCAATCTATCATTCAAGAAACGTGAGTTTCTTGTGGATGATAATGACGATTAATCGACAACGGCATGAATGGTGTTATGTTGACAAGTAGAAAGACTACAAGACTGGTGGACGAAACAAGGTCTGTGACAAAAGCGCGTCTCACTAATCACATGACCCAATTGCCTTCTGAAGTTCTTGGTATGCCTTCTGGCAATTCCAGCCACTCACGCCACTGTCAACAAGACCTCCAACTACAATCCGCCATTGGAGCCCAAATCCAAACTGTAACCCTGATTGGGCACAGAGTTGTGCCAAAAATATGATGCTTCGAAAAATGCAATCAACTATCATTCCTGCCCGTGGATTCGGGAATACAGAGAGGCAATCAAATTGACAGCATTTCTCCAGAACTGAAGTTGCCCAGCCCTGCGCCTCCAAAGAGCCACAAGTCCACAACAACGACTCATGGAGGCATGTGGACTTGTGGGCCTGCCTACTCTCCACACTCAGAAGGGGAGTTCGCCGTCCAGTGCAACAGCCAGGATCCCACCTTGGACGTTTGCAGCAACCTCCGATGGCTTGGAATGGGTTGGCCTCAGGGACCAGCACGCAGAATACCAAAGATGGCGGTCGCCCCTTGCCGCATCGAAACGACACGCTGCCCCGGACCCAGTGCTTTGGATTGCACTCTGGGGCGCGGCCAGCGGGCGAACTGTCCACGCGCGTCGGCACTCCAGAGAGACACCTCCAGGGGTGCCGTCCGCGCACGCCTCTGGTGCAATCGCCGCCGTGCAGCCAACGCGTAGCGCCGGTGAAGGCGCGGATGTGTGACGGTCGGGGAGCGTGTTACACATTGGATTTCAGATGACAAATCACGGACACTCCTTCGCTCGGGCAAAGTACGAAGCTGACGCCTAGCTCCTGGCCTTGTGATGAAGTTTGCGATGATGAGAGTCGGTCATGTTGGTGAAGTAGCACCGTGCTGGATCCAAACCTACACATGGCTTGCCTAAACCTGGACTGAACCATGATCCATGATCAGGGTGTAATGAACACCTAGGCGCGCAAATTAGACCGAACGGGCTTGGTTTTCAACTTTACGGCACCATTTTGGCGTTTACGGTTTTGTGCGTAAAAAGCGGAGAAACGCCCACTTTTACGGCCTGTGCGGGTCGACAATTATAGCTTACATTAGAAAATCAAAATTATTATGATCGTCACATGAGGTGGCCCCACGTCTGATGCAGAATTTAGCGAATGGGCCACGCAACAGCATCACCAAAGGCTCAGATTGATGGCGAAAACGCTGTTTAAAATGATACGAGAACGAGGTGACTAACTCAGTGAACGCAATCGAGAAAAAGGTCAACATTATTATGCGCCTGCCCAACACGTCGCTGCGACATGTTGGAGGCGCTGTGCGCTACCTAAATGCGTCATTTTTAAGGCGACATGTGAAATGGCTGTTTTGAGCAACGGACAAGGATGTCAACGCAAAGGTGCAAGAACACCAGCCCAAGAGTGAGAGCAACGTGTTAGGCAGTTTTGTTGGGAAAATCAGATCAACGAGTGTGGTTTCATCACGCTGGCCATGTGGAATTATGGGACCAAGGGAAGCCATGGCAGACAGGGGTGCAACGCTGAGTATCGGGTCATCAACAGCAAGGGACGGTGAAAGTCATCAACGGCCATTTGAGTCAGGCATCTGAGCAGCGGAATATGCACGCAGCTGCGAGACTAGGCTGCAATCATCAAATTCAGCTGAATTAAACCGCGGCTCAAGACACGATGCCCAAACTCATCAATCGGAGAATGGGTCAAGATGTTGCCACGCTGCGGCATGTTTGGATCCTCAACGACAGCTGCGAGGAAGGCGGCCCGAAGTGGCATGGGCTTCAAAGTCAGAATGATGTGAAAATGATTCAGGATGGGCTGCATGGACGTGTGATGTCATTCTTACCACTTTATAACACGTTGTTTTTTTTTCGGTTTTTAGCGGAACTTGGCAGCCATAATGGCCATGTGGGTTGTCTTTCTGAATGAATATCAAAGGTGATGCCTTTTTCCCCATTTGCTGCTATGGAAAGAGATGCGCTGGATGATTGACACCATGTCGCTCAAATTGCCGTGGTGGCAGCTATGTGAAATGCGACAGGGCTTTAGCCGAATTCGATTGGCCGAAAGGGTAGAGCGTTGAAGTGGCATTTTCTACGACTTGCCCTGCGCGTTCTGCTGTGCGATGCAATATGGCATGAGGATTATGTGAGCGGCTGGTAATAACTTACAAAAATGGGACACCTGTTCGGGGATAGGACGCGCTGGGAGGGAATCTGAGGCGAACTCTCAGAGTTGATTGGCCATTTCAAAGATCAAAGCGGATTTGATATGGCGACATGTGCAAGGTTAGTGCGGGCTTTTGAGGTGGCAGCCGCGGCACGTACGGCGTCACAATTTCGCGCTGCCCAATTCTGGAGGGGATGCAGCGGAACAATAACAGTTTGCGAAGTTGTAAACATTTTGTTGGCGTTCTCGGAGCGCGTCGCCTTTGCATACAAGCCGCGTGGCTTATCCCGACCAGTTTGACTTCAATACCATTTGTTTTCGTTTCCAAACATTCGGGTTTAGCGCAGCACTCCTATGGCATTCTCATCGCTCGAGCTGCATTGGATTCTGAGTGAATCTGTGTGAATCGCTGCAGTTTCTGTTGGCGTTTCTACCCATGCCCGTTTGGTTTTCAGGCACCTGAATATCCTGAGTTCATGGGCTGTTTGTGCCCGGATTTGGAAGTTAATTGCCAGCGCCATGCCTGCAACGTGGCGGACACCCTGATGTCGTTCCCCTTTTGTCAACAACCTCAGGCGGGAGACACACGAACTGTTTTGGAGATGGTCGTGCACAGGATGTCCAGGGATCTGACGGGATATCGCTCAGAGCCATATTTATGCATTTTCACGGTGCATTGACATGCCCAGGTTACAGGATGAAGTCGCAAAAATGATCAGTCTGCCGCCCCCTGAAGCACCCGCAACGTGGCAGGCACCTCGGCCTTGGCAAAAGCAAAACGACGCGGTAAAACGATCGTCCTCTGCCCAACCCAGTGCATCTAGCTGCCATTCTCGGACTCCCTGCGTCTGCATGTGCTGGTTGATGTAGACAGGACACATATTTACGCACTTTTTATGCTTTTGTACATGTACAAACGCAAAAATAGTATTACGGAAATACGCACGGGTTTGGGCTGCAAAAATCACACCTAGATCCGAGCGTTAACGTTGACTTGTTATGTATGCAGCGGGTTTCTTTTGTATGTTTTGTATTCTTGTGTTCTTTTATACAGAGGACCATTGGCGGGGGTTGGGCTGTTGGGACTGTGGCTGGGAGTCCAGAATGCCGCAGCGGAGTCTTGGCAGTCGCGCTTTTGTCAACCACGCCAGGTGTCGCTTGCGCAGAGCCGCTCCCCAGCGCAGAACCTGGCGAGTGAGAACAAGCTGACACTGGCGGACGCCATGGCGGCAAGGGCCGTGATGCACATTACACCCCTTCAGAAGGACCTAACCACAATCGACGCGTTTCACCAAATTTGTGCGGAATGTAAACGCATTAGCAGTGCCCCCAGAGTTCCTCTACCACGGAAGGGCAGTGGGGCATTGCGCAGAATGTTCAATGCAAACCTGGTGCTCAAGAGCCACGGCAAAGGAGGGCGGCGCGTCTTTCTGGAGGGCCACCTGTAAATTTCCATCGGTATGCGGTTGTTATGCGTGTCGACAAATGGAAGAGCCCGTGGGTATGCAAGCAGGTGCGGACTGTCTCACACGCGCCCTCGTGTGGTCGCAGGTCCGTGGAAGGATTTAGCCACAACGCCAACATTTGCATCTGTCGGAGGCAGGAGGCCGCTCGCTGTGTCGGTAGTCTGGAAGGGACATCCCCAGGCACCGCAGTCGGAGGCAACTTCCGAGTGGCCAAAACACTGGTGGGGTCGAGGCCGCGAATGAGCAGCAAGGGCAGGAGCAACGTTGTTCTGAGTTGACTCGATTCTGGTCGCAATGCCGCCGGCACATTTGGACGAAACGATGCTTGCTTGCCCATTGGAACGGGCGCACAAAATGAACGCCCGCCTTTTCCGTGAATTGGCAATCGTCACCGTTACGTCGTCACAGCAGGTGCACGGGCAACGTAGCAAAGTGCTGGATGTCAAGCACCGCTGCTCAATCAGAGAGCACAGTCTCAGTCTGACACAAGTCAGAATATGCATTTCGCTCGTCACCCAGCAACCACAGGCAGACCGAGCTTCCAACGGCACGCTTAAAGAAGCACAACCGCAATGGAAACCGTTGAGGGTTGCCAAGGCAAGGACGTTCATTTCACCAACCAAACGGCGATCCAATCTTAATCATCATCATTATGAATCATTTTTACACAACAAGGCAATGGGGCAGACGTCACCTTCCTCATTTGCCCGAGCAAAGCTTGGTCACGCAAGTACTTGATTAGTCAACGAGCATGTTGTTCAACCAATGTGAATTTCTTGATGACGATAGTGATCAATCGGGATCGGCGTAGCTGGTGGTATGCAGACAGCTGGAAACAGCTCGAGATTGGTTGCCGAGACAATGTCTGCCAAAGCGCGTTTCACTCATCACGTGAGCCAACAGCCTCCTGAACTGTTTGGTACCACCACTACCTATTCCGGCTAATGACACCACGCTCAGCACGACCTCCAAACAACCATCAGCTGAAGACTGGCAATACCTGATGCTATGTGGCTCAAATGTTGGAACAAAACCACAAACTCTTCTACATGTCGCACAACATCGGCATATCCTCCAAAAAACAATCCAACTCATCTTTGGATACATTGCAATCTGAGAGATGGAGACTTGACAGCCGCCCAAAGTTCGTCAGGTGCACCAGGCAAGCGCCTGTGATGTGCTTGCAATAAGCTAAGGACAGGTACGTCAGAGAAGCCTTCAGAGAAGCGAGCTCACTCAGCAGCCTCACGCCATCGTCTGTGATCCCGCAATTCTCCAAAGAAAGTGTTGACAGGAACACAAGCCTGTCCAAGTGCTCAAACCCTGCACTGATGGCACTGCAGTCATCTAACCGCAGAAGCGTGAGCGCTGTGCAGCATCCCACGTACTGCAGACCTTTGCAAGTCACGTCTTCACACCCATCGCCAGACAAGCACAGGGCGCGGAGGGAACCCATGCTCGTCAAATATTGCAGCAGAACATCACTGAATGCGTAGCTCTCACAGAAGGCAAGTTTTGTCAGAGATGTCATGCCAGTCAGGTATTTCATTCCCTCGTTGCTGATGTTGGCACACCTTACCAAATCAAGGCTCTGAAGCGTACCCAAATCTGGCATAAAACCAAGACCTGCACCTGTGAAGAAAAACGCATCGCGCACCACCAACTTGTTCAAAGCACACATCCTTGACAAACACAGCAACCCGTCATCAGTGATATCATCGGCTGTTATTTTCTGACACGTCAGCCTTGTCAATGAGCCCAAGCTGTTCAGCCCCTCATCTGTACAGCTCCCTGCATGCAATTCCAAGTACGTCAATGTGGTCAGGTTCCCGAGATGATGAAGCCCTTGATCTGTTATTTCTGCACAGTCCTCAAGGTCCAAGTGGGCAAGCCTCGTCATGTTTCCCATTAGGGCCAAACCCACATCTGCAATTGCTTTGCAATAAGCGAAGTCTACATGAATGAGGCTGGCCCTGAGGGGTTTGCCAAGGTAACACCCTTGACGCAAGAGCCCTTCGCCGCTGATTGTGTGGCAGCATCGCAACTCCAGGTGCGTCAATGCTGTCAAACCCATAATTGTGGCCAGACCAGCATCCGTAATCTGAGCTTCCCTGCCAGGCGACCCGAAACCGGACAGCTTGAGGTACTGCAGACTCTGCAGCATTTCCCAATGTTTAAAGTCCGAGTCTTTGAGACTTGAAACGGGATGCAAATGGAGATGCTTGAGAGCAGTCAGACGCCCCAGGCCCCTGAAGACTCTGGTGTCTACAGATTGACAGCAGGTAAGACAGAGCCTTGTCAAACGCACCAACAAACCAAATTCTATTGCTCTGATATTTCGACAATCAGACACATTCAAACTCTTCAGGTTTGTCATTGCTTCAAACTCTTTAGCACATGAATCTGAGACACTCCAAGAACCCGTGAAGCTGATTTTTGTCAGATTTGGGTTGCACTGCAAGGCCTGCAACGCTTCAGGGCCAACCCTGCCGCAGTACTTGATGCTTGTCAGGGTTGGTATGTTTGCCAGAAACTTCAGGCTCTGCTGTGTGATCCTGCTGCCACTCACTCCTACATACTGCAGATTTGTTAGGCTTGCCAACTTCTCCACATCTACATCCTTAAGTTCACCATCGAACGCAAGGAATGTCAGACCAGAAACACTTGCAACCAGTGCCAAATCTTCAGCAGTACATCTGTAGAGACTCAAGTCCAGGCGCCTCAACTTTGTCAGCCTGTTCAGGGGAACCAAGTCCATAGCCCCATCCACTGCTCGCCCTTGAATTTTCAGGCCCTGCAAGTTTTCAAATTTCTTCAACATGGTTTCCAACATCATGTTCAGGGGGCAGACCCGACGCTGTTTGCCTATGCACAGTGACACTGTAGCCTTTGTCGCCCATGAGGCCCAGTGCCGATTCACAAGACGAGCGGTTCTCACCATTGGCCAAGGCCGATCCACCATGTGGCCAAGTCCTTCATCCGCTTGGTCAACAATTTTTTGCACCGCATCCAGAAAATTCTCTGACAGTGAGCCCCACCCCTCTGAGTCTGCCTGTCTCCGCCGCAACATGCAGACAGCAGTCAATTCTTGTTTTGAGAGGATTCCTTTCTGAGGGGCATCAACTAACCGAGCTCTGTTCCAGGATTCATGCAAGTAGGAGCTGGATTGACAAGCATTGTCTGCCCAAGAAGAAGGACCTGTTTACTGAAGGAATACCACTGCCAAGAGCCATATGCTGGCGGCATGACACTGACACCATCCCCCACATAAACCATTGCTCTGTAAACATTCTGTGAGCACTCCCCAGCTCCGGAGTTGCCATTTCGTTATCTGTTATCTGCTTTGCTCAATGTGATTCCGCTGTTTTCAGACAATTTGCATTGTATTCACAATGTAGAAAGAAATCTCATGAATGATGTAGCATTATGCCTCTGCTGCAGGGCATAATTGAATTCTTCTTGTTGAAAGAATGGGATGTCTTGCAGTTAGGGGACATCTGCTACTGCTGCCACAGTTAGCATTTCACAAAGAAGGCATGCCATCACCGCCTTCAAGTGCAAAGCAGTGTTTTGACATCTACAGAATAGCTGTCAACAAAAGAAGTGCTCAAAGAGAATGTTCACACCATTGTGTGCTGACCTGTCCCTGTTGCATTGCAACTCAGTGTTGCCGCATCCACGCAGTTCCAAAACACTGCCTGGAATCACAGGGACGCAAGCAGATGGTAAGTCACTCGGGTGAACATCAACTGCCCAGTGACTTGGCATACAGTTGTCAGGTTCACCCCAATAAACAGCAACAACGACATCAACTGCCCGCCAGTCCCATGGCACAGTGCTCTGCTAGCCTGCAGGGAATGAGGCTGCAGTGGCAGCAGCAGTGCTGCAGTTTGCAGCGAACAATTCAGACCCAGAAGGCCGCTCTTTTGTTGACGAACATCTCGTGATGGGTACAAATCCTTTGACTAAACTTGTTGAAAATTTAACCCAGCCCTTTGCACCAGCACTGCGGTGTTGCAGCATATATTGACAAACCAGATTGTCCAAATTGCCAGCCCCACAAGCGCCAAAATCTCTATAAATGCCTGATTCGGCAACGAGTTGTGCTATGTTTTGACAAATCCAAGTAATCACCATTCCTCCCCTTGCACCAGGAATATAGAGAGGCGATCGGTGTCACGGCATTGCTCCAGAAGCAAATATGTGAGCACCCCGCCCCTTAAAGGAGATGACGGGCACAAGTCCACATCAGCGACTCATGGAGGTGTGTGGAATCACGCGCCGGCCTACACTCCACATTAAGAGGGTGCCTAAAGCCCTCAGGGCACCAGGTTTCCACCGAAACGCCTCGCCTCGATCGACCGCCCAATGCAGAAGCCAGGATCCCACCTTGGCCGGTTGCCGCAGCCTCCAATGGCTTCGCATAGGTTGGCTTCACGGAGAATCCCAAAAGATGGCGCTCGCTCCTTGCCGCGCCACAACCGCACGCTGACGCGGGGCCAGTGCTTTGGACTGTACTGTGGGGCGCGGCCAGCGGCCGATTGTACACCAGCGTCGGCACTTCAGAGAGGCACATCGAGAGCTAGCCGACAGCTCCCTATTTTGCCCGAGCGAAATGTAATGTATTGACACGATGACCGACGGTCAAATCCTCGCCTTCCCCTTGCCTTGTTACGTAAAAATCTGCGATGATGGCAGTCGATCACGTGGGGAAGGTCACCACACTGGATCCAAACCTAAACCCAACTCGCCTGAACCTGGGCATGAAGCCCAATATTGGCCGCCAACGCTTCACAGCCCAGTGCCCTCACGACCTTTTGATGGCACAGAATACAACTGTGTCCGTCCGTTTTCGACGATTGTTTGGTGCTCTGGCGCGCAGTCGGTTGTGTTTGCGTCACACCGCGAGATGTGAATATGTCAACAATCGGGGCCCCCGTCATGGAATGGGAGAAGAAACACGCAGGAAACATCTTCTGCCATTGCGACTGGTACCCGAAACATGCGCGATCGCTGACGTTTGCAGCACGAGGATTCTTGACTGACAGCTTCTATGGACCGGCAATTGCCACGCCGCATTGTGCATCTGTGCCAATTTGATGACGTCGCCCAGATACGATGGATTCCATGCTGCACGCTCATGGCTTCCTCTTTATTCCGAACATTGCGTCGCATTTCAGCTCATAGCTCTGGGTTTGTGCCAGTGGATGTGCTAGGGGTCCCGAGCGTGTCCTCCAGAGTCCAGGGAACACGACACCGGTGTGGAGCCAAGCGTGTTGATGCTGCATATGCAAGGAACACAGAAACGCGCTCGGGTAAGTATACATGCTCGTCGTTGCCCCACGAGGTGCAAGGGCACCGCCTTGCCCTGTCAAAGCCGACTCCAGAGTGGCACAGCCACTAGGAAAAAAACAAGCCAGATGACACAGTCCTGACACGGTCTGCTCAAAATCCAACTGTGTGCTTTCGGCAAATGTGGTCCCAAAAGTACACAATTAGTACACACATTGACACAGTTTCAACCGGGTACCCTCAAACAACTGTGTAGACTACAAAGTTTCCTAGGATGCACGGTTAAGACTGTGTCAATATGTGTACTAACTGTGTACTTTTGGGACCACATTTGCCGAAAGTACACGGTTGGATTTGGAGCAAACCGTGTCAGGACTGTGTCATCTGGCCTGTTTTTTACTAGTGAGCCCGGACACCTGGAGCCCTCTCGGCCCTGCAGGGCTGGCACCGATGTCCGGCACAGGAGATGGCCCACCTCCCGATGTCGCGCCCGGGGCCCGAGGGCCCGCATGGATCGATGCTAGGTAGATGGTTTGCGACCAATTCCAGAACGGCATTGACACCGATCGCTTCGATCTGGCATGCGGAGCCTGGAGCAGAAGTCACTGCTTGGCGGGCCAATGGTTTTGCGCAGCTGAGACGATGGCATGATTCTTGAATAATCCTCGGTGGTTTCTAGGTTTTTCAAAAAGCCATGTGGGAAAGGTCGATGCACGCCCGTGGGTCAAGCTTCAACGGCGGATCCGTCCAAAGATCTCGACAGGAATCTTGGGACTTGCCCCAGGACTATCATGTGCTTTTGTCAGCCCGGTGGCGACGCCCTGACAATCACAAATGGACGTGGCCAGTTTGTCATGCCCTGGCATTTTCCGATCCCTCCCTGTGCCTCAGTCTCTGAAGGAATGAGCCTCATGGGATTTACCCGATTCCTGCCTCTTCAGCCCCCGTTCTCATTCGCTCGGAAGCTTCGGAAGCGCGAATGTCTTCCAAACGTCGACTCTGAAATTTCCACCACTCAAACGTGGGGTGCACAATGTGCACTGCACATTCGCGTTGCCTGTTGCAGAAGTGGAACGTCGTGCACACATTTGCACGTCTCTTTTGGAAAACGAATCGCGATGGACACATTGAGGTTCCTGTTTCAGTCGCCTATGCCAACCGCTGTGTTGGGGATGGCAGATTGAGACATCGAAGCTGGAAGAGGGATTTCGGTGTGACTCTGAATTGTGACATAAAGTTTAGGCCTCAGCACCCGGCAAGCAACGTGCTATGCCATGTTGTGCCGTGCTGTGCAGTGCCGTGTTGCGCTCTGCCAAGGGAGAGTGATATTCTGTCGCTGTTGCCGTTCACTTATTATTATTGCTCTTTTCTGCGTCTTTTCTCTTCCTTCCTTGTGTGACTGTGACCAACGTTGTCCACGATCTGGAACATAATCTGTCCATTAATCCGTCAGCAAAAACAGCCGTAAAAATAGGTCCTTTTGCAAAATTTACGTTTTTACGCGTAAAAACGTAAAAGCAAAAAGGTAAACTTAAATGTAAAAACCAAGCCTGGCCTGAGCAACAAGGGATCCCTACCCTTCTGATACCACGATGGCTGCAGAAAGGGGTGCCACTCGTGCTTGGGGTCCCCCTAGAACCAGGGCGCCAGTTTTGGTTGGCTCACCGAATGTTTCAAATTTGGAGCCTGAGTGCTCAGGGCCGATTCGTCGGGTGGCTTGAAAGTACTACCCAGTGCATTAATCCTAATTTTTACAATGAACTTTTGATAGCATTCGTTCAATACAGATCTGTGCTTAACGAATGTACCAGAACACCCACTCTAGAGTGGGTGTTCTGGTCCAATTTTTAAAGAAAATTACGATGTACATGA